GTATTTACAGTATACTACTTCAAAACTCTTGCTCCTAAGAGTTTTATCAGGCTAACTCCTTGTTCTTCCTATAATACAAAAATATCAGAATTATACATTCTTAAGCTAAACCTTGTTTTATAGCTAAATCCGTGTTAAACTGAAAAGAAAACGTGAAATTCCCAAAGAAAGTCAGAATTATTTTTATGATGTTTCACACAGAGATAGATATAAGTTAGCCACCCACAATGAGACATGTTCAAGACATTCCTTCAGCCTGTTCTAAAGAACAGGGGTTTGTCCTGGGGTTTGTGCCATAACCCTGCTACACAGAGGTATTTCTTTTTTTTTTTTTTGAGACAGAGTTTGGTTCTTGTTACCCAGACTGGAGTGCGATGGCGTGATATCGGCTCACCACAACCTCTGCCTCCTGGGTTCAAGCAATTCTCCTGCCTCAGCCTCCCGAGTAGCTGGGACTACAGGCGTGCGCCACCATGCCCAGCTAATTTTTGTATTTTTAGTAGAGCTGGAGTTTCACCATGTTGACCAGGATGGTCTCGATCTCTTGACCTCGTGATCCACCTGCCTCAGCCTCCGAAAGTGCTGGAATTATAGGCGTGAGTCACTGCGCCTAGCCTCACAAAGGTATTTCTTTATTTCTTTCCATCTCAATATGATATAAATCTCTAGGTCTCTTTGGAACTCCTTCAGCATTATTAAGTTTTACGGAAGGAAACAATGTTCTAAGTTTGTTTCCATTGGCTCTGTCCTTCACTTCCAACAGGGAGCATAAATGACTAGTTATCCCAAAAAGGGCCATCAAGAGAGAAATTAAGCCATACCTCAATAATAAAAATATTCCATTTTTGGCTGGGTGTGGTGGTTCATGCCTGTAATCCCAGTACTTTGGGAGGCCGAGGCAGGCAGATCACCTGAGGTCAGGAGTTTGAGACTAGCCTGGCCAACATGGTGAAATCCTGTCTCTACTAAAAATACAAAAAAAGGATTGGCCAGGTGTGGCGGTGCACAGCTATAGTCCCAGCTACTTAGAAGGCTGAGGCACGAGAATCACTGGAACCCGGGATTTGGAGGTTGCAGTAAGCCAAGATGCACCACTGCACTCTAGCCTGAGCAGCAGAGTGAGACTTAGTCTCAAAAAATATATAAATATTTTTTTCTTTATCACTTTCCCCACTCTCAATGTATTCTTGCTGTCAGATGGCCTCCACTGAATCAAACATTTAAAAAATGCTCTACTGTTTCTCCCAATGCATTAGAATGCCATCACGTTTCTGAGTGTAGATCATGTCTGCTTCATTCCAAGTGTTTCACATCTGGTGCTAATCCTGCAGTGACCACCATAATAAAGCAGGAGGTGCCTTTGCCTGGCTTTCATCCTAACTGTTCTCCAAAGGGCTCAATGAAAACTTGGACTTGGAATGTGAAAGCTGTTGAGTTTTTAAGGAGAAGGTTTAAATGAAGAGGCAGTTTGAAGAGCAGCAATGAAAATCACAGCTTAGGACATTAAATACCACAACAGGACTTCATTTCCTTGGAATCACAGAAATTGCCATCCATTTTTATTTTGTGTTACATGGAAAATATTAGCCTTCATTGGTAACATTTTCAAGCAAAAAAAAAAAAGTATGTAGATAGAGATATGATTTTATCTTTTGTTTCTAAGTTTAAAAAAAGAATAGCTATTTTTTGTTTCTAAGTCTAAAAACAGAATAAAGTGATTTGTACTGAAAAACCAATGATCACTTGGAGAACACCCACAATTCTTGACACAATTGTCTTTTCCTATGGTCATTCACTGTAGTCAACAAAAGGCAGCAAAAAGCACATTCTAACAGCTGTGATAGAGTCAGATGCTTCCATTTACAGCAAGTCCACAACCATGGCAAATAACAGTGAATTCCAAGCCAGCCATAAAAATCAGAGCTAAGCCCCTAGAGTTTACCAAGAATCAGAGGCAGTGGTATTTTTATTTCTCTCCACCCTTTTATTTCTAGAATAATACACGTTGAAGAAAGAGTTAAAGGAAGCAAGAAAACAACAAGAGTGGGATGTTGTAAAAAATATATATGTATGTATGAATACATAATTTATATTTATCTAATTGTGGCTTTTCCAGATTATCTTGCTAGAGATTTACCTACCTTCCAAATAAGTCTTGAAGTGCTAAATTATAGTTTTAGATAGGTTCCCCCCCGCAAATTTACCAAAATCCTAAAATATTATTCTTTTAATCTGACTAAAAATAGGCCAGGCACAGAGACTCAGGCCTATAATCTCAGCATTTTAAAAGGCCAAAACAGGAGAACTGGTGGCACCAAGAGTTCTGGACCAGACTGGGCAACATAGTGACACACTGTCTCTGCAAAAAGTAAAAAATTAGCCAGGCATAGTGGTGTACAGCTACTTGGGAGGCTGAGGTTGGGGGATCACTTGAGTCCAAGAAGTCGAGGCTACAGCGAGCTGTGATTGCACCACTGCACTCTAGCCTGGGCCACAGAGTGAAGAGTGACTCTGTCTCCAAAAAAAAAAAAAGACTAAACTAAAACCTTTTAAATGATCTTCATTAATTTTAATTATTTTCATGTTACTGTATGATTCATGTATTTGTCATTTTTTTTTTACTTTTTTTTTTTTTTGGAGATAGGGTCTCACTCTCTTGCTCAGGCTGAAGTGCAGTGGCATGATCATGGCCCACTGCAGCCTCAACCTGCTGGACTCAAGTGATCCTCCCACCTCAGCCTCCCAAGTAGCTGGGACCACAGGCATACAGCACCACACTTGGCTAATTTTTTATTTTTTGTAGAGACAGTTTTGTTATGTTGCCCAGGCTGGTCTCAAACTCCTGGCCTCAAGAGATCCTCCAGCCTCAGCCTCCCAAAGTGCTGGGATTACAGGAGTAAGCCACTGTGCTTAGGCTGCCATATACTTTTAGCTCTTAAGTTTGATGACTTCTAAATCTGTTTTCATGCCAAGCTTTCTGGGGAACATATAACTGCCACACAACATAAGCAAATGTGGCATAAGTAAATGTGGCAGCCATATATGGCACAATAGAGGTGATATGGCTGAAGACGAGGATTCAGGAAAACAAGGGTTACATTAACAGAATGATGATTGAATGGGTATATGTAAGGCAATTTCAAACAGCTTGCCAAAGGAAAGCCTCATATTTCCATTTTCTTGTACAGTATCTAATTTCTGGCTCCTCATTTCCTCAGTCATCTGATAATTATGAAATTCTAAATAAAGTGTCATCTTTCTTGCAACAAGTCAATGAGCAGAAAGCTCCCATCAACAGTGCAGATATTTCCTAAAGCTCCCGCTGATTATTTCCTGAATGTCTACCCCACAAACCATACAGAAAGTTCTTTGGGAACAAGAATTTGAGAACAAGAAACCAACTCCACCCCATGACAAATTCAGCTTTTGTGTGTGTTCATGCATGTGTGTGCATGTGTGTATGTATTTAAAAAGAGGATTAAGAAGTATAATATGCAACTGACAGTAATGAGTTACCACAAATTTGCCTTTTATTGCCAACTTAAGATTGAAATGTAGTCCTTTCTCAGTGCTGTGGTACAAATGTGGGAAAGAATTCCTCCTCATTGTGTATTTGTAACTACAGCTGCAGTAAAAGTGTTTTTGCATATCTTACCAGAGATTTATGCCAACAGAATCACCAGACACATCATTATAATTAGGACATTCCTCCCCCAATTTAAAATAATTCCACCTTTATTCTGCATGCCACCCTTACAGTAATCATAAAATACAAAGGTACAAAGGCAAACTTGTGAAAATAAAAAATTCTATAGGTTACTAAGTGTCCAGGTACATAGCTAAGCCTAAACTTATCTACTAATAAAGTAACATTACAGAGAAGTTTGTTTTAAACACCCTTTCAACCTACCAAAAATTATAGATATTCCAGCTTTTGAAAAAAACCCCCATCTTCTGCATTGTTTGTTTCAATTATTCAGGGCAACCCATGCTGATAATTACACAGTCCCCAGTTGCTGAGTAAAAGTGATGCTTAATTAGCCAGCAGGAAAGATCGATTAAGATCCAGCAGGGCATCTCATGAGGTTCTCTCACATTCCTGAACAGAATAGATTCTGGCTGTGCCCTTCTGAAGGATAAAATTCTCTGCTTCTATGGAGTTTCAATGACGTTTTTAGAGTAGACACTAAGAACGGTCAGCCACACAAATTAAATCCCAACCATAACCCTGCAAATGCTATTCCTTTTCTAAGAATACTCAGTTTAAACTTTCTGAATCACATTGCCACCAGGTTTGAAAAGATTAAAGGAACACTCACTTATCCCTTGCTCTCATTCAGTTACCCATTTCAAGCAATAGGTGGTCAGGAAATATATTATAAAGGGAAATTTTTATTTCCTCTTCCCCTAAGCAAGTGTTTGTATCTGTCAGATGCTCATATTCTAAAATGTACAAACTAGGCCAGGGCCTCTTATTTAAAAAAAAAAGAGCGAAAAAAAAAAAAAAAAAAAAAGAACATAATATTTCAACCCAGTCCAGGAATAAAACATCCCAATATGGTCAAAGAATCACCTTGATGAGCCTCATTTAAGTTTTTTATGAGGGAAGGAGATGTGAAAGTAAAATAGTACCAAAAATCATAATGAACATTATCTCATACTGCTTAACACCTTTTAGTTAATAATTTGGACAAGCATAAATGTTTAGCTTTCATCATTTTTTTAGTTAAATGCAAAAGTGGTCTATAAAGGCTAACATAAAAATCTAAAGCTAAAAGCAGAATAATTACCTCAAGATACATACATAATTATCAAAACATTTTTATTTTGGTAAACTAATTATGCTTGCCTACCTCCAATTCAATTCAGCAAATATTTATTAAGTTTCTAACAAGTATAAAGAACTATGATAGGTATGTCTTACTTAGTGACTTTATTTTACTGGTTATAAATTGTTTTAAAGTTTATGAAGAAGATTAATGGAACCAGTTTATACAAACCTGGCTTTGATTTGCTGAAAGCCCCGTAGAATATGGTCTCTATGATCCCTTGCAACAGCGCTGAGGTTCTCATTTCGCAAGCCTTCTGCCAGGAACTCTTCAGCATCTAAAAGAAAAGAAAAGTTGATAAAACAGAAAAGATGTACTAAGGAGAAAGGAAAATTAGAAGGATTAAGAAATGGGTATTGTTTTCTTTTTAAAAATGTTATGGTTGTAGCACAATGTGAATGAGCTTAATGCCACAGAACTGTATACTTTATAATAGTTGAGATGGCAAAACTTATATTATGTATATTTTACCAGAATAAATAATAATTAAAATTTTATATACACCTGTAGATGAAACGTTCTAATAATCCAAGACCTTGCTATGAACTTAGAAAACTATCACATATATTAACCACAAGAAACAACATTTTCTAAATCAGTTTAAATAAACATTTATATATTAATTATCACTGATGGCAGAGGATAAACTGTCATTTTTTTTTTTTTTTTTTTTTTGGAGACGGTGTCTTGCTCTGTTGCCCAAAGACTGGGGTGTAGTGGCATGATCTTGGCTCACTGCAACCTCTACCTCCCTGGTTCAAGCAATTCTTCTGCCACAGCCTCCTGAGTAGCTGGGACTACAGGCGTACACTGCCACGTCTGGCTATTTTTTTGTATTTTAGTAGAGACAGGGTTTCACCATGTTGCCCAGCTGGTTTCAAACTCCTGAGCTCAGGCAATCCACCCGCCTCAGCCTCCCAAAGTGCTGGGATTACAGGCGTGAGCCACTGTACCCGGCCTGGGCTGTCAATTTCATAGACATGTAATTATTATGAATAAGTCACAAAAGGTCATAGGCCAATAGAAGCTAGCAAGAAATACCAATAAATAGAGCCAAAATAAAAAATAGAGCTGAACTGCAAAAATCAACAACAAAAGGGCAAGCATTCAAAGAAGAAACATTAATTAACAGATATATAATCAATGAAAATGATAATATAACTAAGTGAAGGAACCCACATAGGAAAGAAAAATGTCTTCAAGAGATGGGAACTGCAATTAATATGAACATATATTATAAAATAGAGACATGAGTTGGGCATGGTGGCTCACACCTGTAATCCCAGCACTTTGGGAGACTGAGGCAGGCAGATCACCTGAGGTTAGGAGTTTGAGACCAGCCTGACCAACATGGAGAAACCCCGTCTCTACCAAAAGTACAAAATACAAAATTAAGCACATGCCTGTAATCCCAGCTACCTGGGAGGCTGAGGCAGGAGAATCGCTTGAACCCAGGAGTTGGAGGTTGCGGTGAGCCAAGATAGCACCATTGCACTCCGGCCTGGGCAACAAGAGTGAAACTCCATCTAAAAATAATAATAATAATAGGGACATGATGGAAATACATAATATGAAACAAATCGTGTTATGTGGAAGGAAGAAACTGGGGGGCCTACAAATTTTCAAAGACAAAATATATTGTTAATGATTACAATTGCCAAAAATACTAGCTACACATTTTATTCTGCACAAAAGGTTTGTCATCCCCTAAAAGCATATAAATCATATAGTTAAAATTTTCCACCTCCAAAAATTGTGCCTGTAATATGAAACTGTATCATATATATCAGGGGTCCCAACCCTGGGCCATAGTACAGGAACCTTATTTCCTCAGTGATCTGATAATTATGAAATTCTAAATAAAAGGCCACATGGTAGGAGGTGAGCAGCAGGTGAGCAAGTGAAGCTTCATCTGTATTTACAGCTGCTCCCCATCACTTGCATTATCACCTGAGTTCCACCTCCAGTCAGATCGGTGGCAGCATTAGATTCTTATAGAAGCGCAAACCCTATTGTGAACTGTACATGTGAGGGATCTAGGTTGTGTGCTCCTTATGAGAATCTAATGCCTGACGATCTGTCACTGTCTCCTGTCACTCCCAAATGGAACCATCTAGCTGCAGGAAAACAAGCTCAAGGCTCCCACTGATTCTATATTATGATGAGATGTATAATTTTTTCATTATCTATTACAATGTAATAATAATAGAAATAAAGTACCTAATACATGTAATGCTCTTTAATCATTCCAAAATCATTCTCTCATTCCCAGTCCATAGAAAAATTGTCTTCCATGAAACCAGTCCCTGGTGCCAAAAAGGCTGGGGACTCCCGATACATACTATCAAAAGAAATCACATATGCAATAGATGCAATGTAGAGCTTGGATGTTGATGGTGGTCCTTTGTGAAATATTCAATTTCCAGGACTTTGTATCACATCAAAAGATACACTATATTTAAAACTTTGTTTTATATTCATATCATTTAACAATACCAAAAAAAAAAATCCTAAATAGCCATCACTGGGACTTTTGATGAGACACAAAGTCCTGGAAATTGAATATTTCTCAAGGGATCACCATCAACATCCAAGCTCTGCATTGCATCTATTGCATATGTGATTTAATGGGTTCCACTAGGGTCCCCTGAATGCTAAAGAATGAGGAAATGGGAAGCTGAATTAAAAGGCAAAAATAAATGGCATCTAAGATTCAATTTATGTAATATAACAATAGAATAAAGGAAAAGAACCACATGATCATCTCACTAGACACAGAAAAAGCATTTAACAAAATTCAACAGCTCTTTGAGATAAAAATTCTCAACAAACTGGGAATAGAAGGAAGCTTCCTTAAACTAATAAAAAGCATCTACACAAACCCACAGCTAACATTGTACTTAATGATTAAAGACTGGCCAGGCATGGTGGTTCATGCCTATAATCCTAACCTTTTGGGAGGCCAAGGCAAGAGGATCACTTAAGGCCAGGAGTTTTGAGACAAGCCTAGGTGACATGGAGAGATCCCATCTCTACAAAAAAAAATTTTTTTTTTAAATGGCTGGGCATAGTGGTGCATGCCTGTAGTCTTAGCTACTCAAGTGGTGCAAGTGGGAGGATCACTTGAGCCTGGAAGTTTGAGACTGCAGTGAGCCATCACTGTGCCACTCTAGCCTGGGTGACAGAGGAAGAGCCTGTAATCCCAGCACTTTGGGGGGCAGAGGTGGGTGGATCACCTGAGGTCAGGAGTTTGAGACCTGCCTGGTCAACATGGTGAAACCCCTCTCTACTAAAAACACAAAAATTAGCCGAGTGTGGTGGTGGGTACCTGTAATCCCAGCTACTTAGGAGGCTGAGGCAGAAGTTGCTTGAACCTGGGAGGTGGAGGTTGCAGTGAGCCAAGACCATGCCATGGTATTCCAATCTGGGCGACAGAGCAAGACTCTGTCTAAAAAAACAACAACAACAACAACAACAACAACAAAGAAAAAAAAGACAGAAAAGAAAAAGAAAGACAAATTTGGAGGACTCACACTTTCTGATTTCAAAACTTACTACAAAACCACAACAATTTAGAAAATATGGTACTGGCATAAGGATAGATATAAACTTTAAACTTCAAAGAATAGAATTGGGAATCCAGAAGTAAACCCTCACACTTATGGTCAATTTTTGGCAAGAGGGCCAAGACAATTCAATTGTTGACAAAGCTGATTTTTCAACAAATGGTGCTGAGACAACTGAGTATATACATGCAAAAGAATGAAGTTGGACTCTTACCTCACACCATATACAAAAATTAACTAAAAATGGATCAAAGACCTAGATATAAGAACTAAAACTATGAAAGTCTTAGAAAAAGACAGGTGTAAATCTTTGTGTCTTTGGATTAGGTATGGTTTCTTAGATATGATACCAAAAAAAAAAGCAACCAAAGGAAAAAAATATGACAAACAGGGAATCATCAGAATTAAAAGCTACTGTGCTTCAAAGAAGGCCACCAAGAAAGCGAAAGGACAACCCACAGAATGAGAGGAAGTTTTTGCAAATCATATTGCTGATGAAAGACTGGTATGTAGAATATATTAAAACTCTTATATTTCAATAATAATAAGACAAATAACCCAATTGAAAAATGAGAAAAGGAACTGAATAGACATGTCTCTAAAGAAGATATACAAATGACCAATAAACATATTAAAAGATGTTCAATATCAGTAGCCATCAGGGAAATGCAAATCAAAACCATGAAATACCACTTCACACCCACTAGAATAGTTACAGGCAAAAAGAACGACAATTAGTGTTGTTGAAAATGTAGAAAAATTGGAAACCTTATACATTGCTGGTAAGAATGTAAAGCAGTGCAGCCACTTACAAAAATAATCTGGTAGTTCCTCAAAAGGCTAAACAGAATTATGATAGGATCCAGCAATTCTATTACTAGGAATATACCCAAGAGAAATAAAAATGAGTGCTCACACAAAAACTTGTACACAAATGTTCATAGTAGCATTATTCTTTTTTTTTTTTTTGAGACAGAGTCTTGCTCTATTGCCCAGGCTGGAGTGCACCGGTGCGATCTCTACTCTCTGCAACCTCTGCCTCCTGGGTTCAAGTGATTCCATGCTTCAGCCTGCGGAGTAGTTGGGACTACAGGTGCATGCTATCATGCTGGGTTAATTTTTGTATTTTTAGTAGAGACCGGGTTTCACCACATCACCCAGGCTGGTCTCGAACTCCTAGACTCAAGGAAGCTGCCGGCCTCGACCTCCCAAATTGCTGGATTACAGGCATGAGCCACCATGCCTGGCATAGCAGCATTATTCTTAATAGCCAAAAGGTGGAAATAACCCAAATGTTTGTTAACTGATGAATGGATAAAATGTAGCATACAATGGAATATTATTCAGCAATAAAAGGAAATGAAATGCTGATACCTGCTACAAGATGAATGAATCTTTAAAATCATTATGCTAAGTGAAAGAAGCCAGTCACAAAGGCCCACATATCGTTATGATTCCATTTACATGAAATATATAGAATAGGCAGATCTACTGAGACAGAAAGTAAATAAAGAAAGTCAGGGAGAGGGATTGAAGAGTGAAGGCTAAGAGGTTCAGGTTTTCTTTTTGGGTGATGAAAATCTTCTAAAATTTATTGTGGTGATAGTTACACAATTCTGTGAACATACTAGAAGCCACTGAGTTGTATACTTTAAATGTGTGAGTTGTATAGTATGTGAATTATATCTCAAAGAGTCTGTTTAAAAATATA